ACCTAGTTGGGTAATGAAATGTCTGCAAGAAAGCCACCAAGTTCAGAGAGCACCATGTACTCCGCAGTCGTCATCCTCCTCCTCCTCCTTCTTCACCACCACCACCGCAAAGAGCCTGTAGTACAGTGGACTGAAGCACTGTTATTAACATCTGCTGCTTGCAATTACTGCAAGTTCGAATCTCACCAGGCTCAAGGTTGACTCAGCCTTCCATCCTTTCAAAGGTAGGTGAAATGAGGACCCAGATTGTGTTGGCAATAAGCTGACTTTGTATAAATATACAAAAGTATGAAGGCTATTGCTTAGCACATTGTAAGCCGCCCTGAGTCTCCGGAGAAGGGTGGCATATAAATTAAAGCAAAAAAAAAAAAAACACACACACACACACAAAAAACACCTCTTTATCTAAACCGTGTGTGTTTGTGTAGGAATGGTGCGGTGACCTAGAGGTGGAATTCTCGCCTCACTATCAGGAGGCTGTGAGTTTGATCCTAGGTAGAGGTAGATATTTCTCTCTCTGGGCACACTGAGAATTTATCTGAACAAAACTCCACATTGGTGACAGGAAGGGCATCCGGCCATTAAAACACTGCTAGCCCCATTCGGTTGCCCAGAGTCCACCCTGCAAGGGATTATTGGCTCATTAAAAGATGATGATGATGATGATGATGATGATGGTGTGTGTGTTTGTGTATTTGGCATGTATGTGTGTCAACTCAAGGCAGTGAACATACATAATGTTCCTTCCTCATCCTGTTCCCTTTCCCATAACAACAGCCAGTTGAGGTGGGTTGGGTTGAGAGAGAGAGTGACTGGCCCAAGGTCCCTCAGCTAATTTTTATGCCTAAGGCAGGACTGGAACTCACCGTCTCCTGGTTTTTAGGCCAGCACCTTCACCACTACACCAGTGATGCCTTGGAGATATATTGATGGAGAAGGCAATTTTCTTCAGCCTTGTATTCTTTAAGAATTCCATCATCCTCAACCAATATGATCCAAAGTCAGTAATTATAAAAATGTAATTAGACATCTGGAGGGCAGGAAGTGATGACAATAATTGTAATCAAAGCATCTGAAGTCAAATGTAATTAACTAATTAATATTTACAATACAGTACATAATTTATATTCTCAATTCCACAAGTTTTGGCTGCCTTTCAACAATGTATAAATTAAATTAATTAAAAAATGGCATTCTAAAAAAAAAATCCCATCCAATATTTTATTTTATTTGGGTTTTAGAATCCAAAGCTCCTTTCACCCAATATTCAGATTACAGGAAAATCCAGCTGAGGGAAGGTGGATTTCATCTGGGTCCCCATATATTTGGGGATTCTTTCTCCTCCTTGTTGTGCATTTTTCTTGATGTATTTCAGAGTGAATATCACTTACTAGCTGACTAAAGGGAAAATGAATTCGTTAAGTACAGGAAGTCAACCTAGGACCACAATCGAGGCCAGAATTTCTGTTGCTGAGGAAGGCGGTCGTTAAAGGTGCCCTGTCATACGACCTTCTTTTGCTCTGGTTCTTAAGAGAATCAGTGCAGTTGTTCAGTGAATTTGGCTTCCCCTGTCGACTTCGCTTGTCGAAAGTTGGTTCGGAAGATCACAGTGGAGATCACGTGATCCCAGAACACTGTACCATCATAAGTACAGGTCTTTTAATGAGCAGCTGAAAGTTGATCGCATGACCTTGAGGTTGCTGCAAAGGGATGTAAGTGGAAGAACTGATTATAAATCAGTTTTTTTCAGTGCCATTGTCAGTGCCATCTCCAAACTCGACATTAAACTTTGAAATGTTATTTCTGTTTTCCTCTTAGGTTTTCTTACTGCTTTTTTATTATTTTAATTGTTTTTAACCTATAAAAATGAAGTGTTTTAATACTGTGTGTGACCAACCGTACGTTAAATAAATAAATAGTGCCATTGTAACTTTGAGTGGTCGCTAAATGAATGATTGTAGGTTGAAGATTCCCTGTATTGCTTTTCTTTGGGTAATTGTCACCATACTCAATTCATTTGTTGGTTCCTAACTTTACATGAGGACGCGTTTAGAATGATGTCCTTCAATTTGTGTCTGCGAAGATTCTCAGTCATCCAGGTCATGGTTGTCCCAAAGGTGCTTTTTTCAAGCGGCAACTGGACTTTCTGGTTTTTCTTTGAAGATGTTTCGCTTCTCATCCAAGAAGCTTCTTCAGCTCTGACTGGATGGTGGGGAATGGAAGGATTTATGCTCCTTGCAGACAAAGCTGGTCATTTGCATCATTTCAGAAAGTCATTGAGGCCACCTGAAGATTTACCTATGTCATCAAAGAGGCAATCTATGTCAAAATTGAACAGCCCTCTCTCAACAGAGGGGAAGGGATACAACATCATCCATCTCCAGTCTACAACACAGTCCCTTCAGCAGTTCAAGAAGGCTCCACACCTATTTGCACAACTCAGGTGACCCTGATGACACAGATAAACCTCCAGGTGACCTCAACGACTCTCTAAAAAAATGCAAATGACCAGCTGTCTGCAAGAAGTATAAATCCTTCCACTCCCCACCATCCAGTCACAGCTAAAGAAGCGAAACATCTTCAAGGAAAAACCAGAAAGTCCAGTTGCCGCTTGAAAAAAAGCACCTTTGGGACAACCATGACCTGGAGGACTGAGAATCAAAGCACCTTTGGGACCTTCAATTTGTATACTTTCCCCACTTGAGTTTAACGGAGAGCATTGAGTGTCTCATCATCTAGTTAAATGCTAGAAAAGTGGTTTCGTTTCACTTTAGCGTCTGTTTCTGCAGCAGATTAGACCGGTTTTACTTCTGAAAATGTTTTTCCCTTGGCTTCTTTTAACCTCGACAGTTGTTTATGGGAGACAGCACCTCTGCAATAGGAAATATTTTCCAGATAGAAGATGAGTCTCAGCAGAAATCGGCTTTGGACAGGGAAAATGTTCCTGCTTGGGACTTTTATGAAATAGAATGTAAACGTTGCGGTTGATTTAAACGATCGACTGACATCATATATAGTTTGACTTTAAGTCTTAGACTCCAAAACAACAGATCAGACAAGTGTTTTTGCCTGTTTTACAAAATTGGACACAATTGTCACTGTCAACAGATTAGCTTCACGGCAAATTTGCTTTAAATAAATGATCTGGAACTGTTATTTTTTAAAAATCTTTCTTAATTTGGCAGTCTTCCACATGAATAATACCAAGAAAAGTACATGGATAGATGTGAGCTTAGCTTGAAGATTTATTATTCAAATACATTGGATGTTTTCATTTACTAATATTTTTATTATTGTCTAGAACTAAACTTTCTGTCCATTACCAAGTATCCAAAAGGCAAAAAGAATTAAGTTATATCCAGTGAAGCCATAGGCTCTCCTCCTCAAAAATGGCAATGTGATCTGACAGTTACTGTATTAATACAGCACTTGTATTAATACATGTTCAATTTAAATTTTACCGACAAAGAAATAAAGGGAGACTAGTATAGCTATTTCAAGCTGTTTAACTCTAATCAGATAGCCATACCCTTCTGGGATTCGAACCCAGGCCTCTTGCATATTAGGCAGATGTATTAACCTCTAGGTCACAGGCTCTCCTCACTTTGTCAGCTGTACCAGGGGGGAGATTAAGTGTTTTTCCGGTGAGACCAGTCTATTGGGACAACTTGGTCTACCCAAATATAGGACGGAGCATACGGCTTCTGCTTTCACCTTTCAGCCCCAATCCAGGAGCCTTTGCAGGCAGTCGCTTCCACGACAAACTACTATGTATTAATACATAACTTGTAAAACTATTAAGGACAAAGGGTAGGATTGAAGCTCCAACTTTTTCAGGTTTCTGTACTTTCTCCATAGGGGTGCAGAGAAATGGTCAATCCTTTCTGAGAATTAAATAAATTCAGCTTTTGTCCCATTGCAAATAATGGAGGTGATGATTGCAAATGCACTTTGTTGCAGTATATTGTGACTTTTTAAAGCTCTGTGAATTCATATTTGACCAGCCAGAGAAACTACCTGAAATGAATCTAAACTAAAAATAATTAATTAACTACATCTCCCTGTGGACGTATGCAGGTTTGCACTGATTGGAATATCATTTGATTAGCTTACGTTCATATCTGTATGCCCTCTGGAACATCCTGTCTCCCCCCCCCTCGGGATGTGGTTTGTCCCCACTCTCCTACCCTTCTGCAAAGGCCTAAAGATCTGGCTGTGCCAGTTGGCCTGGGGACCCAATAGAGGAGCATATCGCTGGAGGTGGTTGCTAGACTAACTTGCTGACTCCCCTCTGCACTTTCTGGTCCCCCTCCGCCCATCTTTTTAATTTCATACTATTGTACTTCCATTGTTTATTATTCTTGTTTTAGTCCTTTGCTATTGTCATGCTTACATTTGAAAATCCATTTTATGCTTGTAAACCGCCCACATTAGTCACCGTGAGATGGGTGTCAAATTTTAACAAACAAATCTGTATCCTACTAAAACCTTTGTGTCTGTAACCTTTAATTGGACCGAAACAGCGCACTATAGGGCAACAGGTTTTGAACCAAGGTACCTCAAATGGAGTAACATACAGAATACATCCAAAAGATTATCAGCTATAATCAAGCCAGCAGGAAGTCAGAAGTTGCTTTAACTCCGAAGTTTAAACTCTCTACAAGAATCTGAACTACTAACAGCCAAACAAATGGGCAGTAGATAACAATTAATGGAAGTCAAGGTGGGCTGGATTTTAGATCTCTTGTGGACGGGAAGGAACTCAAGACTGATGATGTGTTTGACCCCGCCCTCGGGCTCAGCCTGGTTGTCTCCATAGATTGTATAGTATACATTTAATGTTGAACTTGTGCATTTGATGATGTGTGTATCATGTTACACAGGTAATTAGACACTTAACATGTTTGGGTTAAGCATTTGAAGCTATCTGAACAATTTATAAATAAATAGCACCATGGCGGAAATAAATAGATTTAATATTTTAACTGTTCTATTTTTAGACGCTGGAAGCCATCTTGAATTTCAGATACTCAGGAGGTCCTGGACATATTGAGGGATATTATAGGAACTTGTCCCTGGGACTTCATGTGGAAGTTGAACCATCTGTATTCTTCACACGTGTCAGTACCTTGCCCGCAACAAGGTAAGTTGCATCTATTGAGAAAAGTATTTCTTTACTGAAGGTGAACAATGGTATAATCAACTCCTGTTAGGTTGCAGTTCTTCATATCAGCTCCTTGGCACAGTTGTGCTGTGTGCAGTATTCCCTGCTCTATATTGGGACAGGACTGGTGTAGTTCTGGTACATTTGGCCAGGATGCCACAAGCATTTGTGTAGAGCAGTGGTTCTCAACCTGTGGGTCGGGACCCCTTTGGGGGTCGAACGACCCTTTCACAGGGGTTGCCTAAGACCATCCAAAAACACATATTTTCAATGGTTTTAGGAATAATTTTATGGTTGGGGGTCACCACAACATGAGGAACTGTATTAAAGGGTCGCGGCATTAGGAAGGTTGAGACCCACTGGTGTAGAGGATAAGTTGAAATTTGGTTTGGGATCAAATGAACGTATGCTTGCCACAATAATTAATATGCAGTATGAGGGAAAATACTTTTAAGTAGCCTAGTAAGTAATCTCATTGTCTCCAAGGGTTTAACATTGAGCTTAAGTGAGACTCCCATCTCACAGAAAGGAAAGTTAGAAAACCTACCATATTTTTCAGAGTATAAGACGTACTTTTTGCCCCCCTAAAAGAGGGTGAAATTTTGGGTGCGTCTTATATACCGAATGTAGCCAAAAATGCGAGGCACGGAGGCTGCAATGGTCTGTGGCAATCCCTGCAGCCTGGAACAGCTGATTGGGGTTATTCCAGGAGGCTGATTCATCCACCAATCAGCTGCTCGTGCTGAATCAGGCTGCAATAATGTGCTGAAGCTGACCTGGCTGTTTGCTATTTCCTGCAAGGACTCAGAGTTTGCAGCAGCAATGACATCCAGAAAGCACACACAAGCAGGATTCAATAACTTCTCTTTATATATAATATAACACATGAAGTAAATATACAATCCCAAAAGCAGGTTTTCCAATGTGGTAATAAATACAAGCAAAACACAGGCAGAGGAGAGGAGTTTCAGTTTCAGTTTTGAGCAGCAGACTAATTTAGAGCTCAGCACAGACTCAGAGCTGCAGAGCTAAGCCACGCCCAGGCTCCTTGCTGTCTCCTTCCTTGTTGCTCACACAGCATCCCTCAACTGTCTCACACACTGACAGGACGGTAGCCAGATGAATACTGATGGATGCTGATAGGCAGAGGCAGAATTTTTTTTTCTTATTTTCCTCCCCAAAAACTAAGGTGCGTGTTATACTCCAGAACGTTTTATATTCCGAAAAATATGAGTAATCTGCTCTCAACATCATAGTTGTAGCAACCTTTCCCCCTTTATAGGTAAATTATTAGGGAAAAATGTTTTTTTTTTAGATAACCACAGTCTCATTCAGTGATGAAACTGTGCAATAGTGCAAGAACTCTGTATTTTATAGGTTGTCTATAGGTTGTATGAAAGTGTGCAGTACGTTTGATCATAATTGTTGCTACCATATGTTTGATGGGACATTTATTTTAATTTTCCAAATAGTACTCGCCAATGCCATTTGCTCCTTGATGTGTTCAATTCAACGGAACATGAACTCATGATCAGCGCAAAGAACAATGAAGATTTAGTGTTGCATGCTGGAGAATGCCAGCGGTAAGTTCAGACTTCCTTTTTTCACTGGGTTCTCCTCTTTTTCAAGGTACATCAGTTCATAGTATCTCCAGACTTATACCGAAGAAGGTATTTTAATTTGAAAAGTTTATTTTGTTGAATTGATTTTTGTTTCCGTAAGATTTTTGCATCCCCGCCCCCCTTGGATGACAATATCCATATCCAATAGCAATATCCAATAGCAGCACACTTTATTGCGGTCATAGACCAAAAAACCAAAACATCCAAGGCACGTAGCTGGCACATGACCAGACTGAAGTGCAAAACGACAACAAGATCAGTGGTAGAAAACCACTCCGTCAAGCTCATAGTTCATGTGTTATAAATTTTTTTAGCTCCAATCTATATGGACTATGGTCGATTAAAATTATACATAGGTAGAAAATACTATATTGCAACTTGCATAAAATCCACACATCGGCACTTTATACAACCACCAGCTAGCTCAACCGCTGACGATCAGTGAGGCTGACCTCAGTCAATGGGTCCAGCCCGTCCCTTCCCCCGGCTCTTACATCCCAAGACTGCAGCAAAAAATTTTGCTACCTTTAATGTAATCTTAGAATCAGTATCTTGGAGTAAGAAGCGAAGGCTAAGATTTTCAGATGTTCCAGGAAATCTTTGGCAAATGGGAGAAATAAGTTCTGACCTTACCTCCCGATAATGGGGGCATATAAATACGATGTGAGCCAACGATTCCGGAGATCAGCCGTCACATGGACAGTGGGTGGATTTCACACCCCCTGAGCACCTGCTTTCTAGGACATTCGAGGGGATCACATTAAAACGTGCCTTTAGAAACGCCAATCTGTATTTGACAAAGGATAGCGCACAGAGATATTTAGGGGGGTGCGTTTGGGGAGTAATACCAAGAGAAAACGGAGAACATACTCCTGCACCAAATGCCAGATTCTGTTGTCTTTCAATATCATCCAATCGCTGGAATATCAGTGATTTGGCTGCATCTGGGCCAAGCATAAGGGCTTCAATAGGGGGAATACCTATCTTCATAAGTTTGGTGTGAATATTGCTGATGACAATATATGGAGGATGACTTTAGAGAAAAACCAGAAATAAAAAAAGAAAAGAAAATTATATAAGAACAGTAAGAGACAGCTTGGTCTAGTGGTTAAAGTGCCAGACTGGAAAACAGGAAACCTTAAGTTCAAGTCTTGCCTTAGCCATGAAAGCCAGTTGGGTGACCTTGGGCCAATCACTCTCTCTCTCTCAGCCCAACCCACCTCACAAGGTTGTTGTTGTGGGGAAAATCGGAGGAGGAAGAAATGTTCGATAGGTTTGCCACCTTGACTTATTTGTAAAAACAATAAGAGTGAAATATAAATAAATATATAAATGTCATGTGATATTGCAGTTAACTAAACAGTACAGTTGAGCTTAACAGAGTTATGTTAAAGCAATAGCACTTAAGATTTATATACCGCTTCACAGTGCTTTACAGCCCCCTCTAAGCGGTTTACAGAGTCAGCCTCTTGCCCACAACCATCTGGATCCTCATTTTACTGACCTCTGAAGGATGGAAGACTGAGTCAATCTTGAGCCCGTCAGGATCGAATTCCTGGCAGTGGGCAGAATCAGCCTGCAATACTGCATTCTAATCACTGCGTTGCCAGAGCTCATGATATCCTAGAGTTCTCCCTAGAAGAAACAAATGTCATTTTAGGATAGTCTGGATTATCTTGTAACAGTGACAGTGACAAATTGATAACAATTCGTATTCAACAACCACTTTAGTGACTTATTTTCCTTTTAAAAATCCAGTGATTTAATTTTAGTTTGGTGGCAACCTGACGGACTCGCCTCTTCCCTTTCTCACAATAAAAAGAGTATTTTTACTGCAAAAGCAGGTGAGCAATAAAAGGAGGAATGGGACAGGAAGAAAATAGGCAAAGTATATAATTAAAGGTCATTAAAAGTAGGAAAAGAGGTGAAGCATATCATGAAATGCCGCTCTTTCGTTTGCATTTTAAAATAGTTTCTTTGGCAACCGAAGAATGTGCTGGCTATAGAAAATTTAGGCTGATCTGTATAATCAGCCTCTGGACATCAAAGAAAGCAAAAAGTTGTTATTTTATTATTGTTTCCTTGAGGAAACCCACAATTTTCAAATTTCCAAATGCCTAATTCTCCCTTCCGCATTAATGGAGATTTTCTTTTCATTTGTCTCGAAATTGAAATGCTTGTCAGCCAGCAGAACATGTCGGGTATTCATTTATTATCATTTATATAACTCTTTTGGCATTAATAGAGTCACAAACCTCCTCTGAAAGTATTAGCTGAAGCTTGGGAAGTGAAGTTCTGGCTATGGAATACAGTTGCAGTGGCAGCTTTTCCAATTTACCTCCCGTGTGCATTCCCAGAAAATAATAAACTCCCCTAAACAATAAGCCAGAAAAGAAATAGGAAACTGATCCATGTAAACATTTGAAAACTAAAATGTCTTGGCATCAGCTGTTTTCCTAGAGTACACTCACGATCACAATTGAGCCCAAAATTCCTGTTGTTAAGCAAGACAGTTGTTCAGTGAATTTTTCCGCATTTTATGACCTTTCTTGCCACAGATGTTAAGTGAATCATTAGAGTTGTTAACTACTGTGTTTCCCGAAAATAACACCCAACCGAAAAATAAGCCCTAGCATGATTTTTCTGGATGCTCATAATATTAGCCCTACCTCAAAAATAAGCCCCAGTTGCCAGCTAGACAGACAGATTTAGTACTGCTTTAGTACAGTTAATTAGGACATTCGTCGGAGCCCTGACAGCTGCATTTCCCCGAAAATAAGACCTAATGGGTCTTTTGGAGCAAAAATTAATATAAGACCCAGTACTATTTTTGGGGAAACATGGTAGTAATACAATTGTTAAATGAATCTGGCTGTCAGCATTCCAGAAAGTCCCCAACTCCAAGTAAAAACTCTGAGTCCCCAACTCTCATTTCTCAAATTTCCATTTTATTAGAGTAGGTATACTGGCACATCTGGGAAAACCCGAATCTGAGGGTTGCGGGTTTTCCCTCAGTAAATCAAAACCCCAAACCCAGCCCCTTCACCCATCAGTCTGTCACATGGTCCAATCATCATCCGTCCCAACTACAGCCATCCCTGCAACCACTCCTCCTCTGGATGCATTAACACCATGACCTTGACCGAAGGGAAGAATGCTATTATGTCTAACTACATTCACTCTCCTAAATCCCCCCTCCCACTTTCCCAGGTGCATGGAGTTGGCAGCGTGGAAGCTTCTGGTGCTAATATGGCTTCCAAAGCTGACACTGGCTTCCCCATTGACTTGGCTTATCAGAAGATGGCAAAAGTGATCCAAGGACAGTGCAACCGTCGTAAATATGATCCAGTTGCCAAGCATCCAAAATTTTTATCCCGTGACCATGGGGATGCTGCAATGGTCATAAGCATGAAAAAATGATGATAAGTCATTTTTTTTTCAGTGCCGTTCTAACTTCAAACGGTCACTAAAGGAATGGTTGTAAGTCAAGGACTACCTGTCCTTTTTTTAATAGAGTACACAGGATTGTTATTGAAAAGTGCCATCAGATGAATTTTGAAAATGGAGCATTATTCTCTCTTGTCATACTTGATAGCAAGCTACCTGCTGTTTTCAGAGACAATTGAAAAATTCTCTAATTATAAATATATTTCACACACACATACACACAAACAATTTCTTGGAGGGATGGGTATAGGCCAGAGGGTAAGGACTCCTGAAATATTGTGTTTGTGTGTCGGATTGCTAGCCCTAGCAATCACTCTCACTGGGATTGCTTACTCCTGGATCTATTATATGTGCACATGTGACAGACAGGCTACAGACCAACTCAAGATACAGCTGGAAATTGAAAATTTTCTCATCTTTAACTTAAGGACCTAATGTCATTCTCTTTGGGATCATCCAGTGTGATTGTTATAAAGATGTTAAACAGACTTTCCTAGCTCCTTTACTCTGTGCTGCTTCTTGGAATAGAACAAAAGTATCACGTTCTTTAAATAGTGGCAGCTAACAACAGCATCCAATTTCTTCTGTGACACAAATACTGCATTTCTCATTAATGGTGACTTGAAATTGCCTTTAGTTGCTATAGTAACTCTATCAGTTTTACACATAGCATTTATTCTGAGAAAGGTTATTGTGGCAAATGCTACTAATTGGGAAGCTTTCCCATAGAAGCTACTATTTTTAAGCTGTGTTAATATTCCACCTGTTAAATATAGCGAAAAATGATAGATCAGCAGTAAACGGTAAATTTTAACTAATGCTGTTGTTTTTACTAAACGTGGGATAGATTTTGTTTCTGATTAGTGAGTGCGAGAGAGTTGATGTTATAGTTGATTACCCTACCCAATTGAGGGACTCTGTATATAAAATCACATGTGGTATCACTGATAGGTCCCTTCCCTACCCTATCCTACCCTACCCTACCCTACCCACAGGTAGGTTCTCCTGCTTGAGCAGAGGGTTGGACTAGAAGACCTCCAAGGTCCCTTCCAACTCTATTCTGATTGATCTGAGATTATATTTACCTACTTTTAAGAATTGCTAAGGACCATATGATTTGTACTATGTCCTGATAAGGTCAACCATAGAACTCAAAGAGAATGTGCTTACTTTTTCACATGACGGTACATACGTACACTGAAATATGGCATGGTGAAAGTAAATTCCAAATTTTGGAAAAATATTTGAAATAACCAAATAAAACACAAGTAGTCACGTGGATATCTAATACAGAAAAACATGCAAAATGTGAACAAATTGAAATGCTTTAACAACAGCAGAAATGATAAAAGCATGAATAAAGGAGGTAGAAGAATTAGAAGCGCATTAGGAAAAGATGAGCTTCATGGAGTCTGGTTCAGCGATCTTATTCATTTTACATCCTCTTCGTACAAAAAATTTCAAACAAATGTTGCAGCAAGGATGAATAGATGACTAGTTCAATGAACCATTTC